TAATCCATCACTGTTATTCCAGTACGATGATGCATTTACTAAGTTATTGTGGCTATGTCGTTGTTGGATTTTGACCTGCGGGAATAATAGTTGACCTTCTTTAAAGCATTGGAATTTATGGTCTGTCCTTCCTGTGCTGCTGTGTGGACGTGGTTTATAAATGCGTTGAGAGGGAGACAGAGGGAGTGGATCAGAGATGGTCATCTTGTCAGCGAGCAGAGATGTGAGTCCAGATTAAGTAGATTAGACCGTGGAGAGATAGACACACAGTGTATTCCTGTTGTCACGTTCTCCTTGGATTCTACAGAGTTGGCATTGAACTGACAGGTGTGTTTATGGATGATAATCTGCTGCTGATCTGATCTCAGCTGATCTCAGCTGAGCTACAGAGAAAATATAACTGTGTTTACTAAATCGGCAGCTCTCTCTGATTTGTCACTCAGCAGCAGCAGCAGCAGCAGCAACAACAGCAGCAGCAGCAGCAGCAGTAACAGTTCCTCCACCAGGGTAAAAGCTGAAGTAACCGCAGTAGGAACAGCAGGGGCAACAACAGTAGTAGTAGTAACAACAGTAGTACTAGCAGGAGTAACAGCAGAAGTAACAACAGCGGTGAAAGTACTAGAAGAAGCATGAGTAGCAGTAGTAACAGTTGTCGTACTAACTAACAGGAGCAGTAGCAACAGTAATAACCGCAGAAGTAACCATGGTAATAGCGATAGTAGAAATAACAGACACGTAGCAGCAGTACCAATAGCAGTGTTAACAGTAGTGACATCAAGTGTAACGGTCGTAGTTACATCATCTGTAACAACATTAACTAACTTAGCTGCAGCTAAAACTCGTTTGTTGTAGTAGACCTGTTCAAGGTGTGCACAGATGTGCTCGTGGCTAAATGTGTTCATTTGGTGTTTATTCTGTGTTTTGTACGTTTGCGTTACTTAGTTTGTAGCTAGGCAGCTTACTATAATGACTCCTGTTCACGATCATTGACTAACAATGTGTTGCGTTTATAAAAACTGACAAACGTCAAGTATGTTACTGCTCATTAACCTGTTGTATTATATTGTTTTGCTCTTCCCTGTTCCCTCACACTGTCAGACGACCAAGGATGTGACAAAGGTGGGTACACGTGCAGACACTGAGACCATTCCACTTCCAACAGAGCAGCTGTTCTAACAGAATGGACTGGATCCACGGATTGTTGGGCATTAGTTAGACTTACATATACACAAGGAATTCTGTAATCCTGAAATTGTTCCAAATCGTTTGTCATCTCTAAAAATGTGATGGCTTATTTCTTGGAGAAAGTTCTGAAGACATCATCGTGCTCGTAGGTCTGTGTGTGTGAGGCAGTGTCTGTCTCAGAATGTGAATCCGTGGGATGGTGAGGTATTGTGATCAAGCTGTTGGTGTGGTCGTAAGCAACACTGCAGTACCTCGTCCTCCCACATGGAGGTGTGCTCTCCTGTCTGTGATTGCTGGCTGACACGTGTGTGGATCACAGACACTTGGCCCACAGCTGGATTAGTTCTGGCTGGAAAGCTTGTTTTCTTCCTCTCTGCTCTCCTCCTCTTTCTCTACAACATTATGTAGTGTCTCTGCTGCCACCTGCTGTTTGACTGCCTGCTGCCCATAAGCCCTGCCTGTCCTCTGTAGCGCCTAAAGCCCCCTCAGCCCTGTCCTTTGACTCTACGAGGTTCTTTACCCTGTGCTTACCCCTTCTTCTCCCTGCTTGCCTTCCTACAGAGGACTGTGACTGTGAGGGCTATTTCAATGGACAGTACATAGGTGAGAGCGTAAATATCTTTCCCTCCCTCCTCCTCCTCTTCCTCCTCCTCCTGCTATTCCCTGTGTGCTCTTTGCCTGTTGCAGCCTGGCTGTCCGCTGCTCCCCTGGATGCTTTTGGCTGGCAGTTTCACTGCTTACAGCTGACACATCTGTGATCAGGGTTTAGGGATAAAGGGGAGGGGTCGATAATTGTAGTGGGATTGAAATGGATGTTGATTCTACAAAAAACATTTCAGTGGCACGTGTAACATAGTTTGAGATATAGATGGATAGATAAATAGACACTGGTCAGATGAATTGTAGTAGTTTGTTTGTAAATTTAAAGGATTTAAAATGTAACTACCCTCCCAACCCTGCAGAGAGCACTCTAACACAGTTTAAAGGTCTGTAACACACGTTCCAAGCACAGATCTTTCTAACCAGTATGTGAACTATTTTGTTGCAACACGTCTTTTTGTAGAATCAAACTCGGTGGTCAACTCATTGGTCTTCTGATCCTCAACCCCTCATCACCCTCCCGCCCGCACCTGTCTTTTACTGAACGCGACCCCTGTTTGCTTCTACACATCCTATGAGCTTCAGAAAATGAGGAGTGATATGGACACAGCTGAAGGCCGAACGTCCCTCCTCCGTAACCCTCTGTAAAAGACTAACATCTTTGTCTGTGCTTGGAGCTGAACCACTGTCCCTGATACCAAGAAGTGTTTTCCACCTAAATTGCCTCCCCTCCCACACTGCATCTGT